AAAACAAGCATCGTTGCTATGCTTTGCTATGCTTTGCTATGTGTGTGTGTGTGTGTGTGTGTGTGTGTGTGTGTGTGGCTGTGTGCATGGGGGAGTGTGTGTGTGGGTGTGTGTAGGCTGCCTAAAAATATGACCAACTTGCTGGCACGTCATATGGCCGCATGTCAGCCAAGTCACAACAGAGTCAAAATCAAGCTGTTGTATGGTATTGGCCTAGACCGGAAACGGAAGTCGCTTAGGTGAATTGCCTACAGCCGTGCCCTCCACTAAAGGTACACTTGTTGTTGACGAAGCATTAATAGACGGCATTCAAGTTCAATGCTTTATGTAACGACTTTTCAGCTTTTTAATAAAGAATCGCTTGAAGGAATGCTCCTAGAATAGATTCCTATGAAGGAGGCGCCTTGGCAACTGAGGCCATATATATTTATACTCATAATACCCAAAAGTCTGTCGTTAAAAAGCGTAGCTGCCCAGCGGAAATATAAAACGTTATTAAAGCTACCGGAAATGCAGACAAAGCGACAACTCATTGCCGCCATTTTGCCTAAAGTGTCAGACGGCGACGATGATAGCGGAAAAGCTGAAAAACTGGAACTGAAATGAACTCAAGTGAAAGGCGTAGCAGCAGCAGGCGCGGGGCGTGGCAGACAAAAAAAAGCACGCACAGAGCACCAAATTGCAATACCAGAAAAAAAAAAGAAAGTGCTGTAAAATAATAATGAATATTTTTATGAATGGCGAACAGAATAAAGAACTGAGCCCAGCTGAACAAAAGAGCTTTCAATGTTGGAAATTCATAAGCGACACGAAAAGCAATCGAAATCAAACAAAATTATTATAAAAGCATTGACTAATGTGGGGCAAATGGTGAGTGAGGCAAATACCTGAGCATTACAAATGTAATAAGCCAAAAGGATTTGAATAATAAAGAAGTTAGCGTAAAGCTGTAATAGGTTTTAAGAAAAAACGGTTAAAAAATTATATTTGAGCACGATTTCATAGCCAAGAAGTTTTATTGTTCATATTGAAGTCCCTGAATAGGCATAAAATATACTGATTGAACCTTAAATCCTAATGGACGTTCGATTTTGGCTTATTTAAAGTCATTATTCAGAAGTTTCTAATATCCCAACCTGATCTCTTTATTAAATAGTTTTCAATGTAAAAATTGTGCTACTCTATTTAGCTTTATAAAAAATACATTATCTGGCACTTTAATTGAAGTTCCATTCCATTCCCATTGTCATTTTGCAACGATGATTAATTTGTGGTTTTTAATAATTGATGACATGTTGCAGTTGTGCACAAACACAGAAGTTTGAGGTTGTTTATGACATTTGCTGTGGTTTTTCAATTTGCCAGCGGGCGTACCAGTTGGTTTGGCCAAAGCGAACAAACTGTGTGCAGTTCTAAGGCCAGAAAGGCTTGACCACAATATTATGAAACCACAAAAAAAAAATCGTGACCCAGAGAACCAGAATAACAGAATATGATTTTAGGGTGTAGTTAATTGTTTGTGTAGAGAGCTGGTCACACTGTTCACTCACCTGGCAGTGTTGTGAGGCAGGCAATGCAAATGATGAAAACCTTGCACGCTTTTATCCCCGTCAGCTGCATGCTTTTAAATGCGTTTAACAGATTAAGCGTTGATTATTTATTTATTTATAAGTGAATTTGTTGTTTAACTGTAGTTTGTTTCTACTTTTTTGGCCGCGCCACTCGCTTTTAGCCACAACGATTTGCAGCCATATATGCGAACAATATCCGTTTGTTGAAACCGCAGAAATCAATTTTTACATTTGCAAGCTCCTGTTTTAGTTTACTATTTTTTTGTTGTTGTAAATGTATTCTTTTTTTGCTGCCCGCAATCGCAATTTCCTTTTTTTTCTTTGAATATTTTTTTCTATTTTTTTGCTGGTCGCTTTTCTATTTTGCGGTTGCATTTAATGCATATTTTCATATGATTTTTGCAATCGCTTTTGTCAAATTCCGTTTTGTGCTTTGCTCCAATTGCCACAGCCACAATTAGCCGTTCGCTGTACAGTGCCTCACATACGTATTCGTATTGGGTTGCCTCGTGTAAATACGTTTGAGGTTAGCAGAATTGTGAATTCCGCATGCAACTCGATTTGGTTATTTGCATTTTTCATATCCTTTTTGCCCTTTTTTGCATATTCATTTCCTGATGGCACTAACTTCCACTTTATGTCGTTAAGCGGAAAGTTTATTCGTCTTCCTTTCTCTATTTTTTTTGTTGTCGGAGTTTTTCCTTATACGATTTCGATTTTCCCAGCTGCCATTTACTTAAATGCTGCCAACAGATTGTGTTTACATGAGTGCTCCTCAGCTGAAAGCATACGAATATAGCAGAAATTATTAGTAATTTTTACGGATTTAGCTGGTTGTACTTAAATGGAAGTATTAAGTCTTGGAAGTATATAATTATTGGTAAAATATATGTAAATTCTAAAAATTCTTATTGAAATTTGTTTGTTATAAAATAAAATGTAATTTATCTATAAAATAAGTTCTGTTTAATTTGAATTATTTTTGCATAAACGAAGAAATTCAAATATTACATATAAGATTTGACTATTTGGCTTACATTAGAATTATACATTTGTTTAACATCAACATTTTACATTTTAAACTATTTCAAATAGTTTTAAAATGAAAAATATTTGCCTGCATGTAAATAAAACAATTAGTTGTAAGTTCGCAAATTATTCCAATTAAAAACCAGCAATTTTTTCTAATTGAAAAAATGAAAAAATATTGTTAATTTTACATCTTTCTAAGAACTATCAAAATTTACATTACTTGGCTCAATGTTTAATAAATTTGATCATCGTAGCCAGTCAGAAGCCTCCATTGAACCGAACTCAACTCAACTCCTAAATCATTGGCTTAAGCTGCACAAGCTTAGCATACGCTGGCGAAATAAGAGAAGACAATAAGAGAAGAAAAAGAGTGAAAACCTCACAGTGCATTTTCCGACTGATTTGAAAATCCAAATGTTGCCCATTAGCAAACCAAATACGCACAAAGGAAAATCTGCTGCCGAATGGTAAAACTTCAATTCCATCATTCGCAGTCACGAACCGAGCCTTAAAGCCGCCCCTACATTTGAGGTGGGGAGACACGAAGGATTAGGGTCTGCTCCCTCTTGGTTGAGTCTACATTTGGAATTGGCAAAATCGAAGCCATGAAATTGTACAACACGATTCTCACATACCGTACATGACACCATTTTGCCCAATGATATGGCAACGGCTTTTCGCATACATATGACGGCGCCCTGGTGTAATGCCACGCTCCGCGCCAACGAGCTGGCTTCTTAGCGTGCCACATGCCGCATGACTCGTGCAACTCGGTTGGGTGGCTGGGCCCAAAAATTCACTTATGGAAATCGAAGAATCTCGTTGCCAGCTTTGTTTCCAGGCAGCGACTGTCCGCGACCCAACTGAAAACTAAACTCACATGAAGTATCAACATTCAGTATTCAATGTAAATCCTTTAAGCTGAAAATGCGCTTGAGAGTTCAGCACACCAAACACACTCACACACAATTTGTATCTGTGGTTCTGATTGGAAAGTGAAAAGTAACTCTGGAGGAGCCCGCGGCCCGGCTCCCATCTGGCACGTGGTGACATGCATTGTTTTTTTCAAATTTATATTTTCCTTTTTCTTAGATTTAATGTGAACTGCCAGCTTGAGTTATTATCTACACTAAAGTGCTAGTACTTTTTATAACAATTGACTTGTTTCTTGCAGATAAGTTTAAGAGTCTTGTTCTTTTCCTTCTTCATTTGGCTTTTATCAAGCTGCCAATTACTAAGCTCTTTGCACGAAAGAAAGCAGGTAAGTTGCATTTAATCGTCAGGATAGTTCCATTTACTACCTAAAGTTCTTCCATTACCAACTTGCATAAGCCGCACAATTTAGCAACCAGTTTTCTTGAATTTATTTTCCCTGAAAAATATGAATATCTAACTCTCCCATTCCTTCCCGATATATGGATTATTCGAACTAAGTGAGAAATATCTTAAGTATTATGTTTTTTGTTTTATTTTTTCTATAATTTTGGAAGTTCCGAAAAGTATATTTTCTGTCTTAAAAATAATGATTAGGGGCTTCAGATACTTTTTATTATATCAATGTGGAAATTCATCTATGTAGGGGAAATGCAGTAAAATAGACCAAAGTATTTTTATGTTTAAATATCCTAAATTATACTGCAAGCAACATTGTTTAGAATTTTTGAACAATTTCTTTAAATAGAACTGAAAGATTCATAAATACATATAACTTTCATCTGACACTTACCCTACTTTAACTTTCTAATATGTCTACTCATATATCTAAATTTAGTTTCTCAGATAAAGACTCGCGCACAAATTATACAAAGCATCGTTAAGAGCTGATATATGTTCACTTTTCCCAAGGACTAGTCGCTATTAATGCCCCTGCATCATGTCTTTCTCTTCAATCCATCTCGCTCTCCCCCTTTCACTCACTCTGTCTCCCTCTCTCTTTCTCTCTCAAATTCATCAGTCACAAAATTTACAAATTCCACAACATAAAACATATTTTCTTATACAGCTGCCAGTGGAAATCCAATGAGAAGTAAAGCAAAGTGCTTAAACTTTTTCTCTCTTTTTTTTTTTATGCCAAAAAATAAAAACCAGCAAAAAAGAAGAAGCACCAGCAGCAGCAGTCGAAAAAAAAAACAAAATAGGAGCTCAAAATTTATTTGCAAACATTTATTATAGTTACTTTGTTTTATTCGCTCGTAGAGTACTTTTGCTTGTTAGCAGGGTGGGGGCAACGACTAGAGGTGGTTGGGCGTGAAGGGCAACAACTAGGTTTGGGTATTGGAGGTTTTTTACTTTTTATGCTGCATTGTTTTATAGTCATTTTGTTGTTGTTGTCGTCTGGGTAATGAAACGCACCGCAAAGTTGATAAAAAGACGACCACAAAAAAAAAAATGAACGAATGGTAATGTAACAGTCTGTCGGCTAGGGAGTGTGCATGCTGCCCCCAACTTCGTCGATTAGGGGGAAAAACAAATTAGTTTAGCGATAAGCAAGTTACAAAATATGCCAAAGCATACTTTCTGGCGGCCATCAAACAAAGTGGCGCTCTTGATTAGCCCAAAGAGGGTACACTTTTATGTGCAGCAGGGAAATAGCTAGCTGTTGCGTAAGCGGTGCAGGGGGCGGGCGACATTGAGGTGGCGAGCGGGTGTTGCTGTAGTTTGTGGGCAAATACAATCAAGCGGCAGACGTTACGTGAAAATGTTGAGCAGCTGTCGATGGAAAATGCAGCGCAAATAGCACTAAACAAACACAACCAGCGACTTTGCCCAGAGTGCGGCAGAGAGAGAGAGAGAGAGAGAGAGAGAGAGAGAGAGAGAGAGAGAGAGAGAGAGAGAGAGAGAGAGAGAGAGAGAGAGAGAGAGAGAGAGAGAGAGAGAGAGAAAGAGAGAGAGAGGGAGAGAGATAGTGTGTGAAAGAGAGAGACAGTTTGGTAAGAGCGTGCTAGCGGCGTGTCTGTAATGCGCCTTTGCCCGAGTGCACTGTAAATAGCAAAGCAATTTCCACTGTAAAATTAACAAGCGCCAAACCGCACCAGACGTGGCTGCCAGGGGGGTCGCAGGGGGTTGTGTGGTTAAGGTATTGCCATCTTCAGACAGCCAATGTATGTGTGTGTGTCTTAGTTACATGGCAAGTGGCTGCTGTGCAGCATTTGGCACTAACCCGTTTTGCGCTGATCTAAGGCGCAAAATAAATAATGAATTTTCTTAGTCTACCCCTGTTACCAGGGGCTTGCTAGTACACTTGTTTATTCCCCTTTTTAGCTAGTTTAGCTGGCCTCACATACATCTACACACCCAAATACACACAAGTCTGCAATTAAGCTGTCTTGGCTATAATGCAGCTGAATGGGCCGACTGCTGAAACTGTTTTTGCTGCCCCACACACACACACACACACACACAGGCAAGAGTGTTTATGTGTTTTTTTGTGTGCTTGCAAAATGTGTCTCGAATTGAAGCAGCTGCCCAAATTGCTGCACTTCTTTATATGAGTTGAAAGTTAAAAATAACATGAATAAAGTTATCAAAAAATACAGTTCGATGTAAGTCAATTGCCCATTTCTAGAAAGTTTGATTAAAACCCAAATCTAAACAGTCCAAGGAGAAAGATATTTTGTTTTACATTATACTTGGGATAAAGGAAATACATGTAAATTTGTATATTGTTATTATTATACTATATATATTATATATCATAAAAATAATATATCATAATAATAATAATAATAAAAATAATAATAATAATAAAAGTTATTGTTATTCATTATCATTATCATTATCATTATCATTATCATTATCATTATCATTATCATTATCATTATCATTATCATTATCATTATCATTATCATTATCATTATCATTATCATTATCATTATCATTATCATTATCATTATCATTATCATATCATTATCATTATCATTATCATTATCATTATCATTATCATTATCATTATCATTATCATTATCATTATCATTATCATTATCATTATCATTATCATTATCATTATCATTATCATTATCATTATCATTATCATTATCATTATCATTATCATTATCATTATCATTATCATTATCATTATCATTATCATTATCATTATCATTATCATTATCATTATCATTATCATTATCATTATCATTATCATTATCATTATCATTATCATTATCATTATCATTATCATTATCATTATCATTATCATTATCATTATCATTATCATTATCATTATCATTATCATTATCATTATCATTATCATTATCATTATCATAATTATTTTTAAGTTTACTATTATTAATATTATTGTTATTATTATTAACACTACTTTTAATTTTATTTAAGAGTTTTAGAAAACCTAACTAACCCAATTAAAAGCATGGGATTTTAAACAGCAACGTTCATGCCTAGCCAGCTGTTTTATGCTATTAAAGAAATGACTATTAATAATATAAATAAATTAAGATATCCCGACCACTTAGCTAGCGGAATGGTTACGACAGAGCAGTGCGATATTTCCGGTTTGACTTAAAGGTACATTCGAAATTATGTATTATCGGATGAGACTTTCAGTAAAGCGAACTATTCAACTTTTTTCCTGTGAGAAACATTCCAAATCAATCATTCAGTTCATTCAGAAACGTCTCTTAAGCTTATCAAATAGGCTTATGGATCAGGGCACACCTGGGAAATGTCGCCTGTAGTTAAATGCATTTAACAAACACTATGCCAAAAAAAATTGTTTAAAAACTGCAACAAC